CGTTCTGATATGGGATCGTTTCTACAGCAAGAGCAAATTTACAGAGATTTGGATCATAACATTCCAAGTAATCAAAGTCTAATAATGAACATATTAAAACGTGCCTTTAGTTAATTAGATTATTTTAGTTTATTTAACATTTATGGAAGGAGTCTCCAGTGTCAGCAGGTTTTTCCTGAAAGTCTTCAGGACAGAAAACTTGTGCTTTCTGGTTTCTCTGTAACACGACAAGCTGCATGTTTTGTTTAGGTTTTTTTTTTGTCTTTTATTTCAAGTGAGAGAAAAAAAGAGAGGCTGGCGAGGGAAAGACTGTTTATAGTTGCTAGAACGTAAGTGGAACGTCAGAAGATGACGGGCGTTAAGATTAAATGTAATAATGCACTGATATAAAAGTATTGTTGTTCTTTAATTAATAAAAAAAGGGGGTCAGGAGGAAGGTACCTGTATTAAATGACTGTAACTGCAGTGCAAGTATTAAATGAATTAACATTAATACAATAATTGTATAATACGGAATTCATAATTACTTATCATAGCGAGTAAATTATTGTACCAGTTTACTGTCAAACCGGAAATAAAGCCCAAGAAGAAACCTCAAAATATAGTCCTGAAGTGCTTTGCTTGTGCTTACCGAGCCATTCAGGAAGTTCTCGGGAATGGGGATGTGGTGGTTTGGCACAACACGGGGAACCCAGCCCCTTTCTTCTGCACCCCACAAGATGCTATTGAGGTCAGGAAAGTTCTGGAAAATATCGTAACCTTCCTGGGTCCAGTGTCCCAATGCCCAGTTTCCCATTTCTGAGCCCTAATGCAAAACAAATGTATTACAGAGGTTGTTACCCATGGTAATATATCGTAACTTTCCTGGGTCCAGTGTCCCAATGCCCAATTTCCCATTTCTGAGCCCTAATGCAAAACAAATGTATTACAGGGGATGTTACCCATGGTAATATGGGTTAATAAAGTGGGAACCTGCCATACCATTTCATACGCCAGCTCGTATGCATCTGGATTGAGAGAAGGCACTAAATGGATGCGCACTCCCTCCACCAGGCGTCGCACTCGAGGGTTGTCGTCGTTGTACTCCTTGCAGAGGAACTGCATGAGCAGTAGTAGGAGCTCTCTGCCTAGAACTTCATTCCCATGCAGACCTGCAGTGTAGCGGAATTCTGGCTCGCCTGAAATACAGACAGGAACAGCCAAGCATTTACCATACTTCATATTTTGTATATATTTGGGTCATTGTGTGTCGCCCTCTTTAGCACATATAGTGTAATTATATATGAAAGATGCTACAGAAAGGTGACGAATGAAAGGAAATTAAACAGAACATTACAAATCAATTATTCTGACTGATTACCTTTATTCTACGATGAAAACAATTCTTTCCTGATGGGAGCGGTATCTAGCAGGATGAGTCCGCCCCCATCGACAGGGCACGGGGGCTCACTGAATGGTTTTATGAGTTAAAAATGATGGAAATCATATGGTATGACCTTATGCTCAACCCAACTAAACACCTGTGTGAGATTTTGTGCCAGACAGCGCTCACCTCTAGCATCAAAACATCAAATCTATGCCAAGGTGTACTGAAGCTGTTCTGGCGCCTCAGAGTAGCACAACTCCTTTCTAAGGCACATTCTTTCTTTGTTATTTCCTTTAATTTCTCACCCATCTGTGTATAAACAGAATGGATTGGACCTGTCTCATGCTCTCCTGGATTGTCTGAGATCTCCATTGCGTACATCTTCAGCCCTTGAGAGCTCTTGCCAACGTTGTAGATTCTGGTGATGTTAGGGCACTCTTCGTTTATCACTTTCATCATCTGCATAAAAAAAAGAACAATGGAAAGTTGGATTGCAAACAAGCGAAGAAGCAAAGACCAACAAGAGGCAAAGCAGAGCACTGCACATGTTTAAACAGGAGGACTGCCCTTTAACTTTAACAATCCGGTACTTTGCATTATGAAAATGGGGCACATTGGCCTCACCTGCCTCATCTCCTTGTAGTTGTGATGCCTGTAATCCAAGTCATCGGTGGGCGTGACGTCATTCTCCGTCGGGTAACTACCTGTTCAGAACAAGCTTGTTTAAGTTCACAGTCCTTAAAGCAAATGAAAAAGTGACTTTCATCCTAAGCTAAGTGCTTACTAGGCAATGGGCAGGCAAGCACCTCCAGCCTCATGCACAGACTGCCGTTCCAGCTCTGGGGTAATATTCGGATATATCGTGCAACCACAGGCTGGGAGAACTCGGTCTTCACTGGAGTGTCTTTGTCAACGTTGCCATAGAAGAGCTGGAAGGTCAAATTCATAATGAATGAATAAAGCCTCACTTTAGTATCATACCAATGAAACACAAGGCATTGCTTAATTATTACATAATGTGAATTATCAATCACTTGAGGTTAAAAAGGAAAAGAAATCTGATCACCCATTCAGCATAGCCATCGTGAAGCACCGTCCATTCACGAGTGTCATTACTGAAGGCTACAAAATACGACGAAACAAAGTCGTCACTGCAAGGACAAATATAATTTGGTTAGAAAGCTGGCTTATTTCTCACTCTATCATCCTGTAATTCCTAAACAACCTAGAGTTGTAGATATCTGATCAGCCATAACATTGAAAACCACTGACAGGTGAAATGAACATTGATTATCTTGTTACAATGGCCCCTGGCAAGGGGTGGGATATATTAGGCAGCAGTCAGTTCTCAAAATTGACGTGTTGGAAGCAGGAAAAATGGGCAAGCGTAAGGATCTGAGTGACTCTGACAAAGGCCAAATTGTGGTGGCTAGACGTCTGGGTCAGAGCATCTCCAAAACAGCAGTGGGGTGTTCCCAGTATGCAGTGATTAGTACCTACCAAAAGTGGCCCAAGGAAGGCAACCGGTGAACCAGCCCATGGCTCAGTGACGCAGGTGGGGAGCGAAGGCTACGCTGTCTGATCCGATCCCACAAAGAGCTAATGTAGCAAGAATGGCTGAAAAAGTTAATGCTGGCTATGGTAGAATGGTGTCAGGTTGTTGCATAACTGCAGACCAATCAGACTGCTCATGCTGACCCCGTCTACTGCCAAATGCACCTACAATGGGCACGTGAGCATCAGAACTGTAGAAGAAGGTGGCCTGGTCTGATGAATCATGTTTTCTTGGGGAAAACACATTATGGGAAGAAGACAAGCTGGCAGAGGAAGTGTGATGCTCTGGGTAATGTTCTGCTGGGAAACTTTGGGTCCTGGTTTTCATGTGGATGTTACTTTGATATGTACCACCTACTTAAACATTGCTGCAGAACGAGTACACTCCTTCATAGTAATGATATTCACTAATGGCAGTGGCCTTTTTCAGCAGAGTTCAAGGTGTTGACTTGGCCTCCAAATTCCAAGCCATGGAGGCCCCACCTCATAGCTTACAGGACTTAAAGGATCTGTTGCTAACATCTTGGTGTTAGATACCACAGCACACCTTGAGATGTCTTGTGAAGTCCATGTCTCGACGGGTCAGAGCTGTTTTGGTGGCACAAGCTGGACCTACACAGTATTAGGCAGGTGGTTTTAATGTTTTGGTTGTTAGGGTGTACGTTTCAGAACAGCTCTACTAGCAGGATTTAGATGATTGTCAAAATGGCTCAAATATTCTAACACACATCCATTTGGCTTAACATTCAACATGGAACTAACGATTAGGAATATTTAAAAACTTTAAAGATCCTTACTGTTTTTCAGAGTCCCTGCCCTGAGTGATGACTCCGGTGTACTCCACATCTCGCTGTGCGTCCAGCTGAAACCAATGTTCCTTCTCCTCGCTGTCCGCACACCAGGCCCCTCCATAAACATCTTCCTCATCATCTGAAGCCTGAATAAGTAGACCAAAGAAGATCAAGCTTTATTTTAATCCTGTAAAACATCTGGATCATATTAAGTCATTACTGACACAAACATCATTAATGACATAAATAAAGCAATATAGAGTTTCATTTTTATTAAAAACTGAATGATGAACTCTCAGCCACTCAGTCAAATTACATTCAATCAGTCTCATGAAAAGTATTGCCCCTTTACTGATTTCCTCTCTATACATTGCAAAGACCACAAAAAGGGGTGTTGATATCTACTATAAAATAATGGAACTTATAACAATTTATTGTTTTATTTAATTATCCAACACCAGCTGGTCATGTATGAAAAAGGTTTCTAATTTAATCACCCTAAATAAAAGATTATTAGAATCGGCTGATTGGACAAAGACACATCCATTCAAAAGAAACCTGATTAATTGTTTGAATGGGTCTCATTTCAGCACAACTGGTTATTAATTGTAAAAGAACCCAGGAAATTTACCGTAAGTAAGGAATAACATAATAGCATGCCATTATAGGACATCAATCAATGATGGATTAGTGATGCTTTTACCCTATGTAGCAGCGCAGTGTTTTATTCCTGTTATAACACAAGAAATTGCCAACGATTGCATTTATTTTATTTATGAAAAGCACATTGTACTTTCCATTAATTTATAACTACAATTATATGTTATATGCTGTCTATTATTAGATGTATATTACGTGAATCGTCTGCCGAACAAGTGTGTGTATGTGTTGTTACTATACAAATTATACCGTATGAGAATGAGGTAATGAGAATTATAAATCTGCAGTTTGGCTTGTGTTTGGAATTACTGTCCGAGCTGCTGTTGATGAATCTACACCTTCTGACCAATCTGATTGGAGAATTCAAGATCATTGTAGTATTTGCCCACTCTGATTCCATCCATCAATCAATTTTCCTTGCACAGGGTCATGGATAGCCTGGAGACTATCCCAGGGAACTCGGGGCGCAAGGCAGGGGACAGCCTAGATGGGGTGCCAATCCATCGGAGGGCACAATCACACCCCACAAATAATCTGTAAATTCCAGTCAACCAACATGTCTTTGGCCTTGAGGATGAAACCCAAGGAAAACTCAGAAGCACGTGGAGAACATGCAGGCTCCACGTACCCAGGTACAGGCAGGATTCGAGCCTCCAACCCCGGAGATGAGAGGCAGGCATGCTAACCACTAAGCCACCATGTACCCCCCCCCCAACATCGTATAGTTTGTTGGAAAAATATGTGCGCAATAGGACCTATACTTTTTCAGAGCACAATACAGTAGGATTGGTGTCAGCACCTGCATATTCAAACGACCTCTCTGGGCAGCAAATCCATGATGGGATGTCGAGGAGGATGAGATTTGGTCATCCTCTACGCGATGCGACTCCATGCCCATTGGAGGACAGTCTGTGATGAGACAACAGTGTTTTCAGCGAAACTATTTACTGGAATTATGGGACCATTACTGGAATAAAAAGTGTGCATGGTTGTTACTTTAAGCATTGTCAAGCATTTTCAGGCTTGTGCCTGCACATTTGAATGAGTAACACAAGTCCACCCTTGACTAACCCCGCTTAAACATCTAAGGCATACTTTTTGCTCATGGTCATAAAAGCCCTGTCACTTTTTGTGCAGGATGAGAAATGACTGATCGCTCTGACTAACTGATTCCATCACAGAATGAGAGAGGCCTTTTGGGACAAGAAGCTCATTTGAACTGAGAACAGGATGGAGCGCGAGCCAACAGAAACGCTGGCTCGTTCTTAAAATACCCAACACTGGGACTCACTCAGGGCCTGCAGGCCTCGCTCCAGCTGGACATGAAACAGACTGCGGGGGAAGTCAAGCTAAGAGCCAACATTTATTGCAGTTTGCACAAGTACTATAACTTAGACCATTTAAAAACAAAAGCATATGTGACTAGTGTGTTTGCAGACATGTAAATTCTGCATCATATACAGTTTTGATTTATTAGTGGCACTGTCCGGTCTAGACATTTTTACATAAACAGTGTGTTCTGGAAAGACTTACTTTTTGGTTCGGCATAAATAGGAGTTTGCTTTCTTCTTTCTTCCTCCTCCTCCTCCCATTTTTTCCTGAGTTTTTCAGCTGTTTTGGGAGGATTACTGGAGTTTAATATTTAATGTATGCTTCATTTGTGCATATATTCAAATCAAACAAACAGGCATAAGTTAACTAAAAGTCAGAAGTTATATAAGTACTTGCTATTTTTGTTAAAAACATATTAATCACAGGGAGCCACATGATTAAAACTATTGCACATCATTGCACAATTTTTACATCACAACACACAGAGCACCAATTTGCCAAATGAAATGTTATTATAAAAGAGATAAATAAATAAATAAATGAATAAATAATATTTAGACCCTTTTCCTCCTTCTCTTTCCGCTTTTTTTCCATCTCCTCCTCCAGCTTCTTTGCTGCCACTGATTACATAGAGAGAGAGAGAGAGAGAGAGAGAGAGAGCAAGACTGAACCAAACATATTGCATACAATGATGCTTTAAATATTCAAATGTAAATATTCTAACCATACAACAAGAACCGAAGTAAATGGTGTAAACGTACAGTCAGAATAATCGTATTCTTCATACCACGCAGGTACGAATGGTGTCGATGTGGATGTGGTCTCCTCTACACACACACACACGCACACACGCACACACACAGAACCACATAAATTGACAAAAATTATATACAGCTTGTAAATTGATTCTGTTTTGACTCTAATTGTCTGATCACATAAGTTTGTAATTACAGTATGCAACCATAATTGTAATTATGTCTCAAACTTTTTTTGAAGGTTTGTGGGTTTTCCTACACGAGGTGTCTCAGCCCACACCATGCCGCTTAACATACAGTAATTATCTTTGGATTACCCGGAATGGGTAAATATATGCTGGGATCCTCAGTGACGGGGTTAGCGTCCTTGACTTTAGGCGGGAGATCAGGCTCTGTAACTTCATCTATCAGGAAAATAAAAGATATAAAATATTTAACTGTGCTCCTAGTCCTCATTTAATTAATACTGGTTTACATGCACACATAAATACACACACACACAAACATACATCTGGCATCCCAATAATCGGGGTCATGCTCTTTCAGGATTTTGGTAATAGTAGTCGGCTTTGGATATTCTTTCTTGGGGGGAAGATCTGTGAAAGAAAATTGAGAAAAGGACAAAAGAAAATCCATAAGTAGTCAAATATCATGTCAGGAACATCTGCCAAGGCATTGGACAAGCTTACTTATTTGCATATATGTCTTCTTTTGAGGACATTTGAATTTCGGTCAATTTTACAATACAACAAAAGATTTCAAAGCAAAAAGAAGAAGCAAAAAGACACCAAGAGAAGATTTTTGACATGCACATCAGGATATTTGCTGATGTCTAAACAATACATGTTACTGTATGAAGAAGCAAGACTGGGGCTGATTTCTTTCTAGCCCATACCCCCACATCATACTTACTACTGATGATAGTAAGTATAGATAGAGATAGATCTTGTGATATGACGTTTTTCTCAATAATAGTTTTGCTGTCAGGCTATTGATAGATATTCGACTTTTCCCATCTAATATCAACACCAGCCAACCCTGGTTAGAAAATATACTTCAGAGAATATAAACATGTGAACATGACCATATTATCATTTCATAACCCCAAGTTTAGGAAGTGTGAACATGACACGACATGTGAACAGAATGACATCATGTATACGTACATTTGTCCAATTCAAGTTCTGTGTGAATTTTCTTCTCATCCTCCAGGGTTGGTTTCTTGGACGGAGAGCTGGCGTTCTCATTTTCTTCATACTTTGGGGTGGCCTTCACTACCTTGGGTTTCTTGGTAGGTTTTGGGGGTTTGGGTTTCTTGGTAGGTTTTGGTGGTTTGGGCTTTTTGGTTGGCTTTGGTGGTTTGGGTTTTTTGGTTGGTTTAGGCTTCTTCGTTGGTTTCGGAGGCTTGGGCGCCTTGGTGGGCTTGGGGGCTTTTGGCTTCTTTGCTTTGGCCTCCTTCTCTGCTACTTTCTTCGACTTATCTTGTGCAGAAGAAAGGGAAAAGATGAAATAATGGGCACCAAATCAAAAACAATAGAGGCAGGACATAAATTACAGAGAAATTCAAAGGCCTCTTTTCAGTTCACGGTCTGTGGAAAACTGTACAAAAGCTATATTTTTCTTGACATCCAACCTATAAAGAAAGTTAATCGCATACCATATAAAACTTTCACAGTCTTAAAGTAATAGTGTAGCCATACATGTATAGGTCAAACTGGAATGATATGATCATCTAAATCACTTACAATTTTCCCTTCAAACCTCGGGCTGCACCTTTTTGTCCATTTTTATAGATAACACTGTCATACAGTGTTCTGCATGGTTTGAGGTAGTGTTCCTTAACTTGTTAGCTACATTATCCTTATAGTCCCAGTGCAGAGCTAAAGAAACATCCAAGTATGTTTTGACTGCATACACACTTGAACACCTGTACACCTGCTCATTCACACAATTATTTAATCAGCCAATCATGTGACAACAAGTCAATGCATAAAATCATGCAGATTCAAGTCAAGAGCTTCAGTTAATGCTTACATCAAACATCAGAATGGGGAAAAAAGTGTGAAATCAGTGTCTTTAACTGTGGCATGTTTATTCCTGATGGGCTGGTTTGAGGGTTTCCGAAACTGCTGATCTCATGGAACTTTCACATACTGTGAAACAGTCTATGGAGCTTAAACAGAATGGTGCAAAAGCAGTTTTGAGAAAACAGAAGAAAATGGCTAGGCTGGTTTGATCCAGCCTGTATAATGTACAGGAAGGCTACTGTAACTCAAATAATCACACTTTACAATCAAGACAAACTGAAAAGTAACCTCAGAATGAAAAACACTTCAAAGCGTGAGGCTACAACAGCAGAAGACCACATTGCTTTCCACTTCTGTCAGCCAAGAACAGGAATCTGAGTCTACATTGGGCACAGACATTTTTCCAATCTTCAACTGGCCAGTTTCTACTGGCTAGAGTACAGGTGTTCCCAATTAAGTGGTTGAAGTTTTGCCATTCAGATAGAATTTAAGAGTCTTACAACTAATAAACAGCTGTCAGACAATGATAGCAGCAAATGAATTGAAATGGTCTTAAATTTAATCCAGACCACAGACATAAATCTCATGCTTGTCTGCACATAATCGAGTAAGCATTTCCTCTCTTTTATATTTTTTTGGACTGTTCTTCAATTTTCAGTCCTTCTTAGCCTAAAAGATTCACACATAAGAAATTTAAGACAGATAGTTTTGACCTTAATCCAAACCAAACGTTGGGCCTGTTTCTCTTCCGGCCTATGTGGCTAAAAACAAACACTGCACATCATTCTTTTATTAGCAAAATGGAGTAAAGGAGGTGTGCTTGGATGGGGAGAATTATCTCCATGTTTCACTTGGCTATGCCGCCATCTGTGATTACCATTTACTCCTTCACTACTGCCTAACTGTAATCTGTTTTCCATTCACTAAACGCACAGCACTGTCTTTCTGGGAAATATATATTATGCCAGTAAACTGAATGGTTTTATTTTGCTGACGAATTGTGTGCCAGATCTGTCACCGTGACAAAACACAGTGAAGTTAATCCTCCTACAAGCTTAAATGTGCACACTGAATAATTTGATGCTGATGTTAGTTACCTGCACCTTCGGGTGTTTTTTTACTGCCTGGTTTTTCATTTTTACCCTCCACATCTGCACTCGGTTCGTCCAACTGAGTGTCTTCTGACTGTGTTTTTTTTTCTGTTGTTGTGGGGGTGGGTGTTTTTTTTTTTGGAGCCCTTTGGTGGTTTTCTTGGCTTATTATATCTTTTTCCTTTTTAAATTTTTTTTAAATTTTTATAGAAAAAAAAAAAGAAAAAAAAATTTTAAATATTTTCTTCTTTTTTTTTTTTTTTTTTTTTTTTTTTTTTTTTTCTTGTGGAATTTCTAATGGATGTTGGAGAATCAGACTTGACTATCTCAGTAAGAATGCCAAGGCACCAAAGTAGAGAATGTTTTACCCAAGGAGTGTGTTGGTTTTCCTTAAACAAGCAGGATGGTCTTTGAAAATGGTCCTCGAAATCATAAGACAACACACTAATCCAAACCAGAGGAAGAATCAATGAGACCGACAGTGAAATCAGATGTAGAGCT